TGGGTTGCATATGTCTTTGAAGAGCCAGTGAACTGACTCTTTATTCTTTCTAGGTACTCTGTGACCGTGTCACAGTCTGAAATTGAGCCCACAATAGCAGGCTCAATCATGTTCTTTATCACTGCCAAACACTTCTTGTTGGCAGTGACCCATTTCCTATGCTCAGGGTCATAGGACATCTTTACGGGAGCAAAATTTCGCTCTCTGTTCTGCCATGCAGCATCAGTCTCATCTGTCTCCCTCACCGGTGCCACAGGTTCTCTGGGACACGGTGTGGTGACAACCCAGTCCACCTCAACGAGGATAAAAGCCAGGTCTATCTTTTTTTCCACTCAATATAGTTATCACCTTTTAGAGTGGGGATCTCTTTGATACAACTCATCAAGTTGTATCCTCCTGAAAACACAATTCAAATAGTGTGAGAACAGAAATAACAACAATAATTGCATGTCTTAGTTTAACGTTGGTCAAAATTCAAACATACAATTATTTTATACATTAAATCTACATCACCGTTGGGCAGAAATAGAAATAATGCATAATCATTAAAATTATAATATTGCTATTAACAACGTTGGTCAGAAAATAACAATATCATAATCAACTCAAAACATATCCATTTTCAAAATTAAATTCTCCCGTTGATTCAATTTAATAATGAAAATTACATCTTAAATCGCTGTATTGAAACATTAACATTCAATAATCATTTTCCTATTTTTGAAGCAACTTTACCATTTTGAACAAAAATATCGTTGGATAAATTTTGTACGAAAAAATATCATAAAATTCAATTCAAATTGATCAAATTGTTTTCTCGAAAATAAGAAAAAACAAAAAGCTCAGAATCAGACTTTTGTTTGGCCATTTTATTTTGATCCAAAGAATAAAGCTGATGCTGCGTGGCCCAATGAATCGCGCCCCATGGCTCATGCTGCAGCGCACAAGCAGCCGTTCCCCCAAAGACCAGCATGGTCGACCTTGCATGCACATCGCTTTCTCTCGGCCCACCGCTCATGCATCTCCGCGATGGGCTGAAATTTAACTTCCTGACACCTAAGCGGCAAGACCCGCCACCCACGCGCGACGTCGCCGCCTCCGCGCCCGAGCCGCAACTTTGGGCTGGGCGAAAATCGACCTCGCGCCCCTATCCCGCTTTGGCTCTACGGCCACGCTCGATCATCTCCGTCCGTCCATCCAGATCGAGCGGTGGAGCGCTGCAACTCGGGGCATCAAAACCCCGGTACCACGCCCCCTCAACCCTAGCTCCGTTTTCATTCGCACATTCTCTCTCTTCGCCTCACTGCTCTCCCTTTCTCTCCTTAGTCAAACACCGAACGAGCGACAACGGCCCGAAGCGGCGAGTCCCGGCCGTCTGTCGCCGGCCCCTCGCCAGCGTCTGCGCTCCCAATGGGTGAGCGCTGCCACCGCCGAGCGTCAGCAACCGTCATGGCGCCCACAATGGCCGGATCCCGACGAGCGGAGCCCCTACGCCTTTCTTTTTTCCCCACGCCACGGCGTGGATCAAGCGGTGTCATGTGACGGCGAGAGGTAGGCCACCCCGTTCCCTTTCTTCCCCTTTCTTTGATTCATTTGTTCGGATTTTGGCCCGATTTGCCGATTAGGGTTAGGGTTAGGGTTGGGATGGCCACTGTTTACTTTTTCTCCGATTTGAAATCGGTTCTTTCTTTTCTCAGTCAGTCACCGAGCGTCGCCGGATCCCGGCGTGGTTCTTTTCTTTCTCAGTCAGTCCCCTTCCAGGTTAGGGTTAGGGTTTGGATGTCGAGACCATGTCTCAATCTGTTCGCACTTTTCCCGTACCCGATTGAGGATTAGGGTTCGATTTCTTTCTTTCCCCGATCCAGATCTACCGCTAGAAAAAGGCTCCGATACCATTGTAAATTCTGAGGATCAACTATGGTAGATCTAGTCGGTTTGCTGTTGAACATGATGAGCTAGAACAAGCAGGGAGTGGGAGATAGGGTAGAGGTGCTGGTGTTGAACTGAGCCTTGGATGAAGTCGCAGATTGAGCCGGTCATCATTTGGTTCGTTGATGGAGGCAAGACACGGCAGGCGACGGGTGGAGTAGAGGTTGCCGCAGACGTCGATGCAAAGGTCGACGGGCGAGGCAAAGGATGACAACGGCGAGTCGGTGAGCTTCCGTCACGGGTCAGGCGCCCTCTTAGATCGGTCTAGGGTTTGTCGGTGGGGTTTGTGGCTCACGGCGAACCTCATGCTTTGAGCCATTGCCCCCACCTCTTTATATATAGCCTTGATCGACGGCCCAACCATGTAGGGTTGGGCGCCCCCGATCAGGGCGCGTGACCAAGGCCCAATAGGCCGTTGGGCTTATTGGTTAGGAGATCAATCTAACACACACGCTATCTACTCCCTCCGGCTATTTATCTCCTTCATCTAAGAAAAAAAATCTTTTTCCAAAAGTCTCCGTATTAGTTTGGGACCACGGGTTTGGCTTCTCGTACATGCTGCGCATTTGGTGTTCATTGGCTGCTCCTTGTCTGCATTTATTGCTCCTTGGCTGCTCATTGGCTGTTCCTTGCCTTAAATGCAAATCGGTGTTGTTTACTGCTTCTTGGTCATTGCGCCGAAGGCTAATACGATGGAGACTTATAAACGAAGGGAGTAATTAATAAGCTTACATCATCCCTGGCCATGGTACCGCACCATAACAGGGTGACTTCGTCAAGTTCAAAAGTGTAATGTGGGTTCTGTTTCCATGTGCTGAACTATATATATATATATCCAAATAGTAAAATTACGCTGCAACCATTTTTTTCCACTCAGATTTGGTAGTCTACCTCCAATGCAATTCTTCCCTCTGAATATCTACATCAAAATAGAACCTTAAGGTTTGGGCTCTCTCTCCTCCATTGACGCTAAAAAAAAGTTTGAACAAAGACACATTAGTTGCCCAATAACAAGTAGATTTTTTGAATCTATCTACCCAACAATTGGGCGTTTTAGCCCCTCTCAACAACCAGTTTTTTCCCATTATAGCTATATTTACACCGCCTTATTACTATATTTATAATGATTTCTTCGGTGTAAATTATTGGATACAGTGATGTAATTTGAGGATCATTGCAGATCTCAAATAAACATATGCCAAATTTATAAATTATTTATATGGATTGTAAATATCAGATAAAGAAACATCAAATATGTCAAATTCTTCACAAAATTAAAAAAAAACAAGAGGGAATTCCCTGTGTGCCATTAAAAAAGATCGCAATGCCATGTGTGCTCTTGGAAAAGTTCAGCGGTCTTCAGCGCCGCTGCTCCAACTTTTTTGTGCCCTCCATGCCACTGCCGTCAGTTTATGCTCTAACGTCGTCAAACTGCAGGTGTGAAAAGTCAAAAATACCCTTAAGTCTAAATATGTCATTAATTTTTTTGAGCATCTTAACGACTTCAAATGAAAAAACTCAAAACTAGAAAGTTGTAGATCTCGTCGAGATCTATAATTTTCATATAAAAATTATCTTTATTTAATTCCGCAAAAAAGATTTGATTTTTCTAAGATATATTAATCATATCAAATCATATTTTTTTGCGGAATTAAATAAAAATAATTTTTATATAAAAAATATAGATCTCGACGAGATATACAACTTTCTAGTTTTGATTTTTTTCATTTGAAGTCGTTAAGATGTAAAAAAAATTAATGACATATTTAGACTTAAGCGTATTTTTGACTTTTCACACCGCAGCTAACGATCCAAACTGACGACAACGGCATGGCATGGAGGCACAAAAAGTTAGAGCGATGATGTCAAGACCATGAACTTTTCCAGAGACACACATGGCATTGCGATCTTTTTTAACACACACACAAAAATTTAAAAAAAAAACAATATCTGACGGTGGCAGCCTGCGCTGGTGGAGGCGACGTGGAGCGCGCGCTGCTGTGCCGCCGCACTCGGCCGCATCTGTGCCGCCGTGTGCTTAATATGCCATTTTAGATGTGATCAAATTTATAAAAAAAACCTATTTATAATCACCGAATAAGCCATTAGATTTTGAAAGAACACCTTCCCACCCATACGCCGGCCCATCCTCTACTGCTGGTCTGCTGCTATACACAACTGGGCACACCCGACCCGATGATGCCTTTTCTGGCCCAAGCCAAGCTGCACGTTTCCCATTTTCTAGCCAGAACAAGTGCGCAAACGCAAAAGAAATGACAAAATTCCGTTGCCGGGACTCGAACCCGGGTCTCTCGGGTGAGAGCCGAGTATCCTAACCAGCTAGACTACAACTGAAGCTGACCACAACAGTTTCTAAAATTTATAAAACAGTAAATGGCACTCAACAACCTTGGTCTGGGCCGAGAAAGTGTGGTACCCACACCAGCCTGCTCGGCCCGAGCCGCTGCCGACAGCTCTGCACCGTCGATGGGCATTCGGACGGCAGGGATCGCTCCCCGAACATCAGAACCGCGGCACGACTGCAGCCCCAAACCCTAGCTCCATTTCCTCCCTCCCTTTCTCTCTCCTCCTACCCACGGCGGCGCGATCTTGAGGCGGCGGCGCGGAGCGGGGAAGACGGTGGCGCCGCTGGGTTCCCCTGGGGAGGGGGGTGGGCGGCGGGGCACTGGGCAGATCCTACGTGAGCGAGGAGGACCCGCGCCGAGTCGATGGTAGGCCTCCGCGCCCTTATTACCTGCCAATCTGGGGCATATTTGTGGAATTTGTGCGGGTATATATTGATGGGAAAAGGACGGATTCATCAATCCATTACAACACCACGATTTGCGCTAGTAATTTGCGCACGCGGAGGGGCGTGCTGGGTACGTGGGCGGGTAAAGGAAATCGTCGGGGGAATTTATAATGTGATGAATCCACGGAAAAAACTGACATCTTACCAAAACCCCACACCTTTTCCACGTTCTAGGATCCGTCTTCTTTTTTATATGCCCCTCCAAATCCAAAACCCAAAAGAGCAAAACCTCGGCGCCTCTCTGTCTCACGAAACCGATATGGAGTTCCAGTACCGTGCCATCGACGAGCGCCGAAGCCGATCCCCGCCGCCGCCAGCGGCGCCAAGTACTCCTGGCTCCACATCGGCAGGTGAGATCCCCTAGACCCCTAAATCCCGATCGCTCCGTCGGTTCACGTTCTGTCGATTGAACGATCGATCGTGTCACCTGCCTACTGCTTTTGCATTCATAATATGCCGTGCGATTTCACCAGACAGCCATCGGGGCGACAGTTCGGTAGAGCGCTTGGGGAATTCGGCCGCGGCGGTGGCTGACGCTGACGAGCTGCGGCGGCGGCAAGCAGAGAAGCCGAGGATCAGGGAGCGGATCCTCAGGGAGGAAGCGGAGCACTGGGAGCTAGAGATGGAGGTGCGCAGCGAGTTAAGGGAGGAGATGCTGCATCGGTCATGGCCCGCGCTCGGGCGATCGGCGAGGGGATCCGACACGCCGGCCGTGTTGTCAACCGGAATGATTACCGCCGCCAACTCATCGCTGCCTGTTGTTGCTCTTGAGGTCTGTTGTCTTTTGGCCTTTTGTGTTTGATCATGCTTTCTGTTTCTCCCTAGCTCTTGCCTCACGTTTTCTATGTTGCATTATGGAGTCTTTCGGATCGAACGAAATCTATGTCAGATTAAATCTCGGCCGTAGTTACTGATTTAAGATAATTTTTTGACCCTGAGGGATTTTCAACTCGATGCATCATTCAGTCTTTTGTTGATTTGATTTGAAGTGTTTAAAACGTGCATGTTTTCCAATTGAAGCACGTATTTATGCCTAAAATATTAAAATTCACTTAGACTATGTCATTTGGATGTTTAAAGCATAAACCATAAGTGAAGCTTCTATATAACATATGAAATTTTCTGTTTCTTAAAGTAACTTTTGAATGGTGAATTATTCTATAGATAGAAGAAGTGTCGTGGGTAAATAGTTATCATAAATAATAATCATGGTTAGTTGTGTGTCAAAAGTATGCCTTTCTTGTTAAGTTTTGCAGAATTTTGTTGTTCTATTTGGTGTGGTTTATTGGTTAGTGATGCTTATAACCGCTTGCAATAGTATGCCAATAATGTTTGTTTCTGTTTGCTAGAGTATGTCATGGAGCCATGGATAGATCTATTTAGTGTGGTTTATTGGTTAGTGAGGCTTATAACCCGCTTGCCTGTATGTCATAATTTTTGTTTCTGATTGCTAGAGTATGTCATGGAGCCATGGATAGACAAGACCTACTTGGGATTTTTTTTTTACTTGTCCATCTTCAAAAGTTCAGATAAATGTGCATGCGTTGTCGGCAAACTGCATTAGCATAAATGTAAGATAAGATGCAAATAATTCATGTAATCTACATAAACGAAAATTCGTGTAGGTGAAAATCATTATGCATTATTGATGCCGGTTCATTCTCCACATTTTGGTATGGGTAAAATGATCAATGCTGAACAAGTAGCTGAGAATCATTTTGCTCATAAGCACAATTTTGAGCACGAGGGTGCGGTGTTGCACTATACTGTTATTAATTTTCATCTTTTTTTTATTATATATGCAATGATCAGAAATTGAAGAAAATAGAGTATCATATATGAATTTTCTGCCCTCATTGTTGATACTTAAGAATTTCTTTCTAATCAAACACCTTGCGCTGGAAAGGAGTCAACGTGAAGGAATTCTTTATGATATTTTTTTTCTTCCCTAATATTTGTAAACTGCCACCATGGTTTGAACATAAACTTTGGATAACCAATTCAAAACTTTGTTGTCAGATTGCAGGCCTTGCAATACATGCTGTAGATTTTTGCAGTTTTGACGCTGATGGATGTAAAATTTCAAAACCTTGAAATGTCTAACAAAATTGTCATCTGCAATATATATTTTTTTTAAAATAAACTAAACAGGAATAGCTATGTGATAACTGATAAGGATGCCCACGGCATGTATGTTATGCTAACTTTTACAGATCTTCTAGGAGTATAGAAAAAACATGACTAGTTGCTCGATCTCACAATATTCATGCAATTTTGTTGTTTTTGCCCGAAAAAGCTAAGTCAGTTCATTATAGTAAAAAAAAGTAGCCAAATCAAATGATGTACCGGTGTTTTGAACATTTTTTAAGAGTTCAGTTTTCATGTTTGTTCTTAACATACAATCATGATATTTCTATCATTATTATTTGAAGTTGCAGCTATTTTTGTTTGCTCATCTAGAAGAAACTCTCATGTTGGTTGTGCAGGCCCACCCAAAATCAAACGCACTAGCAACCGCGCCGACCAAGCGGAAGAGCCCTGAATCGTGCCACCGGAGCATTGTTGGTTCCAAGCAGCAAGAAGCAGAAGAGCACATTAACCTGCATGGTGTGTTGCATCACCACAAACAATGAGAAGGCCATGCAAGACCACCTCAATGGGAAGGCTCACAAGAGGAAGGTGGTAGCACTTCCGGAGCTGCCAAAGCTAGCGCCAGAGACAGAGCAGGAGAGAGGGCTCGAGGCAGGGAAGGAAGAGGCAATGGCAATGGAGACATTGGGAGATTACAAACCGACGAGGTTCATGATGGCGATGGCCGCAGGAGAGCTGAACGAAGTGACACAGATCGACGGGTACCTCCTCTGTGAATTGTGCAATGTGCCGACAGCAGACCGTGTTACCATGATGTGCCACCTACAGGGGAGCAAACACATATCTAATGGCCAGAAGAAGCGTCAACCCTCCAGCAAGCCATCGAGTGAGGTGGAGGGTACAGTTAGTGCTGCCACTTCAGCTATTGGCAGTGCTGATCCTAAAAAGCTGGCTCTGGAGGATTTCAGTGTGCCGCTGCCACACACCGTGCGGCCGCTGCCACACACCGTGCGGCTCTTGGAAGGATTTCTGCTCTGCGAGCTGTGTGATGTGAAGAATCCATCGATGAATGGCATGCGTCAACACTTGTCAGGGAAGAAGCACAAGAATAAGGCGAACGCCAGCTCTGATGCCTCTGTCAACGTGTCCACAGGTGGAAAGGAAGCAGCCAAAGCGCAGCTGATAGACACAGACACGGTTGTCATCTCTGACATGGCAGCAAAGGTGGAAGCCCCATTGGAGAAGTCCTTGCAACCAAAGCTTGGTGATGATAGTGAGTTGCAAGAAACGACTGTGGCACCACCAAAGGAAGACGTCGCCATTGGGGACAGTGCTAAGTCTGCTGGAACGGAAATGATGAAAAGCAATGCAACTTCTGCTGGAGCTCAGCTCAATAATGTCTCTGATTCTGACTCGCTGACCATGGAAGTAGACAGCGTGATGCACGCCCTCTCCCGGGTGGATGGCTTCCTCATCTGCCTGAGCTGCAACGTAAAGTTACCGTTGCAATGCATTCAGCTCATTTCTTTAGTAGTAGACTCTTATATAAATATTACAGGCACTTATGGTGTTGAATGCGGCAATAATTGGATATGTTGTACTAGCAATTGAAAATTGGAAACGTCAGCGCTTGGCATAATCTCTGCTTAATTTCCCCAAAGTAGCTAGGCACTAATTAGGGAAAGGGTAGTAATGGTGATTGCTGTTCCATCTTACTAGTAGGTAGAGATGCACTATTGTCGAAAGGAGGCAAATTGGCCTTTGTGTGATTCTATTGGTACTTCTGCAGTTCTGTGTCATCAACATCGCCTCTGGTTTGTAGGGAAAATTATCAATTTCCTGAGCAATAGTTACCTCATCCTCAGGGTCAGGTTAGCTTCAATCCTTTGCTTGGATGTTTGCTTCCTCTATTGGTGCTTTAGGAAATCTGCTTGTTGGCTTTGCTCAGCTATTTTTCTCCCAAAATCGTATTTTTCCCCCAATCCTTCTCGTGCTCCAATTCTTCACAAGTGTGGCTATAGCTAAGAGCTCCCTCAAACTCCAAATGGCAGCTACCAATATCAGCAACCACTAGCATTCGTAAGCAAGTCAAATAGATGCAATGCATCCTTTCTGTACCTGAATATTTTGATCAATAAAATAGGGAGTAGATATGTACATGCATGCGTGCTACACTGCTACCATTCGTTCATGTATGTACTTATCTGATTGATTGATAGCTTCTGGTCGACTCACTCAGAAACACTTTTTGGGTTCAGCTTATTGATTGTGTGAACTCAAAGGTTGAAGTGATCCTAAATAACGTGATATTAGTCGCAATGAATTGAGTATAGGGGAATGACCTTTTTAAGGCAACCAAGTTTGCTGAAGTATAAATTATGTGAACATGTCTGCTGGGGTTATTGATGTAACTAGATGTAGGGAGAAGGAAAATGCAGCGACAATGTCTATGTGAGAAGCTTGTGAAAGTAAGTTTAAAGTCAGTTTATTGTAGTGCCAAAATTGTTGGTTCCAATTTATTTTTTGTTATCAGTCCATTATGTCTGTAATGACTGTATTTGATATGACGATAAATGGATTAGCTTGGTTGGGTGTTAGGTTTGATATGATGATGAATGGAGCTATTTTCATAGAAAACTTTGTAGTTTTCACAAACTTAAATGCAGCTATTTTCTCATCGTAGTTTTCTAAAGAATGAGCCTTTAGCACTTACCAAGGCTAATACGTAGTTTTACATTACTTATATGAACATATGTGAAGTGGGCTTAATCTGCTAAATCCTTACAAATCTGTGTGCTATTCATATAGGTTGTTTATGGCTTGCACCTGACACTTTTGGATAGTCCTACGCTTTCCTTTTGAAAGTTGAAAACTGATATTGCTAGCTCAACTTTATTTGATCGTTGAAGTTCAGATTGGGGGTAGGAAGGTTAACTTGGAGGTCACACATTTCTTAAGTATCTGCCCTTTGCGTTGTCACTTCCATCCTCTGATCCTTCGACGAGTAGCAGACCAGCTGGTACAGATGCGTCCTTTGACGTATGAAGTTTGCACCTTTATCCTTCTAACTTCATATGCATGTGTTCAAGAGTTGCTATCTGAATATCTGATGACTCATTTTGTAGTCAGCATAGGATGGCTTGCTGCTTCAATTTAGTGTATTATATTTACCTAAAAATATAGCAAGAAGATGGAGGTATGTCCAAACTGCTGTATTATGCCATTTACTAGTTCGTATTTACCCCTGCATGAATCTGGATTGCACTGGACTAAGTATTGGCTACTTGCTGAACTTTCAGATCTCAAGACTGGATACGGTTTTGTGGCACTTGTATGGATACAGTGGAAGGAATGCATCTATCCAAGATTATGTGCTCCAGTGAAGTAGTAGTTTGTTCAGTTCCAAACTTGCCAATAAGTCTCATGCCCCAATTTTATTTTTCATTACCTCACTGGGTATATATGTGGATGGACATGATCATGTGAAATCCATAGTTTAGCTTTGTTGGAAGATGGTACTCGAATAGTTTCTGTATGAATATATTACTTGTATTAATTGGACTTAATTTTAGTTTTGAAATATTTATGTATTTGTACAGAAAGATTTATTCCTGATATTTTTCATGATTTTGTGGATTTTTCTGATTTTTTGAGACATATGGTACTTGATTGCTTCAATCGTGTGGTCAGTTTTACCAAACGAATCCGTGGAGTATTATATATTAAAATAAAACAACAGCCGAGAAATCCCCAACAGTCTGCCAAACAGCTACAGTGAAATTCTCCATGAGTGGATATCAAACCCGGGTGGAGGTGTTAACGGAAGATTCAAAAAAATTCCACGTCCAGGGCTATATTCCCTGGGCTAAATTGCCCTGCTGCCAAAGTACTCCTAAGTGTTTTAAGAGACAGGATGAAACGGTCACGGCGGATGTAAAATGCGGAGGAACACTCCAGCCTCCAGGCGTACTGCTGCTTTGCATCTTTCTCGCGCCTTTGGTACAGTACAGTGTACAGGCCTACAGCTACAGGGTATAGTAACCTACGGTTGCGCATCACATGGTTCTCGGCACGGCTCACGTTTCTTTCTAGCCGACGACCGTATCATCCATCACGCGCCAGGATTCGAGATCTCACTCGCATTCATCGATCCATCCCTGTGACCATTTGGTGACCAAATTAATTAAACTGTACTGAGGCAGAGCACTGTTGCGTTCAATTTGCACAGGATTGGAGAAAGAAGCTACTTTACATGACCCAAAATGGCCCCATGCAATGCTTTTGGCAACTCAATGCCACGCAGTATATATATATAGTAGTATTTCTCCCGTGCCATGACGATCGATCGTGTATTCGTGTGTGCATATATGGTGCAGCGTATACTCGAACCTGATACGTGATTAATAACGTGATCAATGGTGACTAATAAGCTAATACGATTTGTTACTTGTTTACGCGGACCGGCCGGACCCAATCATCATCCGATCGATTGTGGAGTGCAGGTGAAGTGTATGGAGTCCAGTCCAGGTGCATCACGTCCAGCTCCGCTCGGCTCACAGGTCTCCGGGAGAGAGGGCGATCTGTACTGTACCCTGCTTCCCTGTTAATCCGCCGTGATCTCGATCCCCTTTTGATCAATGCCGGGCAGTGGCACGGGCCGCCCGGCCCGATCACAGAGCCGATATGTTTCTCCTCCAAGTCCTCGTCCAGTTCGTCCTCGATGAGTGATGGAGAGCCGTGGCGTCTAGCTACTGATGCCGATCCGTTACCAGGTCCCGATCGATCGTGGGCGATCTGCATCTGCTCGACCACCACCGAACCGAAATCCAACTGAAAGCCCCCGCCCGCCCGGCGTCCGGGCCGAGATATACTACGATATAAATATCGCGCTCCCCCGCAACGGCCACCGCTTCCTCGTCGTCCTCCTCGTTTCGCTCACGGGAAAGGGAGCACACGCGCACGCGGTCCTCGCGCGATCCCCCACCGCCTAAAGCCTCGCGCGGCGCCACCACCCCCGTGGATCCACCACCCTGCGGCCTCTAGATCCCTCGCCCCCCCGGCCGATTCATCCGACCGATCGGTTCTTGATTGGATCGGGCTCGGCCTCCCTCCCGCGCGCTGACGCCCTTCGGTTGGCCTAGGGGAGGGGCCAATATGTGGACGAAGGGGAAGAAGAGCGCGTTTTTGGCACCGAGGGGCAGGAAGCGGGAGTTCCCTATACGTGCCGTGGACTACGAGCTGCTCGAGCCCATCGGCGACGGCGCCACCGCTGTCGTGCGCCGCGCGCGCTGCCTGCCGCTGGGCGGCGAGGTCGTCGCCGTCAAGATTATGAATATGGCGCACCGCACCGAGTCCGACGTGGTAAGTACGTAAGGCACTTGTTTCGTTACTCATCAAACTCATCATCAGTAGTTGATTATTATATATTGAAACTGACTAAATAAATTACCCGCACCAAAAGTATCAATTCGTGCAAACTTTTTTATGGTGTGACTAACTGACTTGTCTTATGGTGTGACTAACTGATTTGTGTGTTATGCTAATTATGCAATCATAGGAACACATCATCTCTTGAGTAACTTCAGTTCTTGTAGTGTCATATGTAAGCATACCTATATGTGCATATCAGGTTTGGGACATGCGTAAGTTGAATAAAGGTTTAGATTCACCATCAGTATCCACCAGAGAAGAGATTAAGAATTGTATTAGACTTGAAAAAAGAAGGAAAAAAAGGGGTTATATTAGCTACTACTCAAGAGGCATGAAGCGCAAATATATAGCTTGGCTCACTTACTTTCTTTTGTTTTGCAGAACAATGCTTCGGAGGAAGTGAAGACCATGATTATGATTGACCACCCAAACCTTCTTAGCGCATACTGCTCGTTTACAGAAGGCGAAGCCTTGTGGATCGTAATGCCCTACATGGCTGGAGGTTCGTGCTACCACTTGATGAAGTCTTCGTACCCCAAAGGATTCGACGACGAGAACTTCATAGCGTTTGTGCTACGCGAAACCCTGAAAGGTTTAGAATACCTTCACGAGAATGGTCACATACATCGGGATGTAAAGGTATGGATCCTTTAATTTGCCATTGCCTCACTACGGCTATGCATCATTGCCTCACTACGGCTATGTATCGGTTAACTAATTAAAATAAGAAGGCATTTGATTTGTACGTATAATTTTACAATAAGAAGGTATTCAATTTGTTTCATTATGCATGAACACAGGCTGGAAACATACTGCTTGATCAAGATAAAGGAGTCAAACTATCGGATTTTGGAGTTACCGCCAGCCTTTATGATTCAATAATCAATAGACATGGCAAAAGAAAGACGCTTGTTGGGACGCCTTGTTGGTAGCAGAAAATAATGCAATTTATAAATTATTCAGCTATATAGTATAATGCATTTCATATTTTCTTACACAATACTAACGTTGCTCTCCACTTCTTCTTCTTCTTTTCCTTCAAAGGATGGCCCCTGAAGTTATGGAGCAAAAGGATTACGATTTCAAGTATATCTTGTTACCTTGTTACTGTCATCGTTTAGTAACAGTTAAGTATAGTTGTTGATTTGTTTCCTTATCTAAAAAAATTACAGGGCAGATATTTGGTCGTTTGGAATTACTGCACTTGAGCTTGCTATTGGCCATGCACCATTTTCTAGCCAACCTCCAGCAAAGGTATTGCATTAATTTAGTCTATATTGTTCCATCATAATTATGTGCTTAACTGAGGTTTATGAAATGCCATGCAGGTTTTTCTCATGACGTTGCAACATGCCCCTCCATCACTTCATAACACAAAGGAGAAGAAGTTTACAGACGTATGGTTTTAAAATATTTTCTAGGCAATTGATTATGTGTGACTATTGATTCATTTCTTGTCTTGTTTCGTAGTCTTTTAAGAGTATGATTGCCACTTGTCTCATTAAAGATCCAACAAAGAGGCCACCTGCAAAAAAGCTATTAAAGCACCCATTTTTCAAAAGAGCAAGGTCGGACCATAATGCCGTGAAATGTATGCTAAATAAATTGCCATCATTGGCTGAGCGGATGCAATTTATAAAGGTAAAAGTATTGTACAGATATGATTTTGTAGGTTCTGAATAATACAATATACATATTTTAAATAGGAAAATGAAGCGAAGTTGCAAGCAGATAAAAAACCTCTTGATAACTGCAAAGAGAAAGCATCACAGGTAAATACACATTCATATTATTTTATTAATATAGTATACTTTTAGTTTTCCTTTAAAGTTCTAATAACTTATCATTCAACACTTATGTTTTTAACTAAATATAGTACATAGTGAAGTGGGATCTGTTAAGTGAATGTTTACTAACTAAAGCTATGATCCATCCATGGATAATGTGACAATCTTATAAGTACAATAATGTTCAGTTAGATGGTATATATATATATCAATTCTCACTTTAAAACTCTGATGAAACAGGAAGAGTATAGAAGAGGTGTGAGTGAGTGGAATTTTGATATTTCAGACTTAAAAGCACAAGCGGCATTGGTACGTGCATATTCACTAAGTAAAGTTTTGAAATAATGTCTATATTTTTTTTATTTACAATTCTCTAAACTTTTGTTTAATTGCAGTACCCCGATGAGAATGAAGCAGAAGACTTTTTACGTTTTCTATTTGAACTTGACATTGTTGATGAAACTACCCAGTTAAAAGATATTAGAGCACAAAGTCACTCTATAAATGATGATAGAATGGTAATATAATTTTAAGTGGTTTCATAGTGATTTATTATTACTAGACAACACAATGTATTTAGTAACAATGAAGCTACATTTACAGAATGTTGGTGATGATGGCTCAGGAAAATCAAATTCAACAAGTCCAATGTCTTTATCTCAAAGGTTGGTTTTTTATTTAGATATATCTGGAAGTTGTGTTAGTTGTTTGTCAATTATACCAATATTTTTTACTTGTCTATAAACATTATTGTATCCTATATGATTTGTTTGCATAAATATAAACAAGTTTATTTCTATTTAATCTTGCAATAAACATATTCTTATTTATCAAAAAATGTCTTCAAGGGTTGGTTGTTTATGTGTATGTTTGCTTTAGTTGCACAGGAATAAATTATTTGATCTAAGGTATAGTTAGACATATGTTTTTACCTAACATAAATTGCCTCTATTAGTGTGAAGCAGCTTGATAAAGGAAGTCCTAATGGCCTTGTGCGCAATGAGTCATTTGAAATTCATTCCATATCACCTGCTAAGCAACCGACAAGAGCAGGCATGTTTTAAATTCTTCACCCTCAAAGTAAAATTTCACACATATAGTTATATAAACAAACAACTTTATTAATGTACCATAACATGTAATATATGCTTTTATTGAAATTTATATGTATTTTTTATTTATATATTTCTTTGCATTGATTAGAGATATAAGCTTAAATTTAGTTGCCATATATAATAAGACGAATAATGGTGTTATGTATTGGGCAGTTTCTACTTGCAAGGATGTTGATGAATATTTAGAGAAAACGGCTTTTCAGAAGGGTCGTTTTAAGGTGATACATGATTATAGCAAGGTACAATTATATGGCTTAAATATTTTGTTTCTTGTCATAGGTGTTGCTTTTGATTATATTATATATTGCTATACCATGATATCTTTGGTTATCAATGATTAGGCCTTTAAGCTAATTAACTAATAACTAATATAGTCTTCTCAAACTTAATTTTCTTGGTTATGTTTCATACTAGATTACATCTTCAATGCAAAATTGAAAAGTTTATTAGCGATTACTAATCTTATATTATTATTAATTAATTTGGTATTCTGGAGTATGTACCCACAAAGTAAGAACCTGTTATTAATCTCACAATCATACCTATCATCCTTCATATATTTGATGGTTCAACCATGATGTGTGACCCAACTTTTGCATGCATGGGAGCAACAAAAACTCTAGAATTTGCCAAGCTTTTGCATGATTGCATCCATGTCTTGTTACAACTTTCGAGAAACCATTTGATAATATCTTTATGTTTGTATATTAAAAATGCCATACTTGTCTCAAACTTACATTACACATTGAAATTTTGGTTCAAATATTTTTTTTTTGAGGTAGATTGAAGGAGCAACGCCGAGAGAGAAGGAGTTATTAGAACGTATCAGTAGTTTAGAGCAAATGTAAGTTTATGATTTTTCAAATGAGTTATTATTATGACTAGTATAAGGTATTTTAAGAATCATCTCACTAAATTTTTATCGTTATAGGCTTCTTGCTACCCAAGATGAAGTTGAGAGGCTTAAAGCAAAGGGTAAATATACTATAATGTTGCTATAGTAGCACTTCTTTTAGACTTTTAATCATCACTAATTTATTTGTGTTATATTGTTTGTCAGGGTCAAAAGGAGCAGAGGGATGTCTACAACAACAATAGTAGTGAAGTGAAAGTTAATTTCATTTGTTACCTAGGTGATGCTTGTAATGATAGAAACCAGTTGTAGTACGTTTTAACCATAAAATAGTTCACTGAGTTGATTTGGTGGACTATCTATTAAAAATCATTTGTGCATTATGTATTATTTTACAAATATTTCTTAGATCTTTCCTTTCTTCTTAGATGACTTTATAAATGAGATTTGTTATATATGATGGTCAAGTGTTATGGCTTGTGATGCTTTTTGTACTTGATAATGTGGATGGGCAAATCGCGAAGCGGGACCGGTGTATGGTGGCATATAGGTTGTAGGTTGATGGTCTATGAAGATAAATTAGTATTCATTTTACATACCATTGTCATATAGTTGTGTTTGTACTTTGTTGAACTTGGATGGTATGTGTTTTATCTTTTGTTTAAAACAATAAATGTGTTGTATAATTCATCATTTCATGATTACGTTTCTAAATTTCTTTTACTCTTTTGCTATTTGTTATTAAACCAATTTGACACAATCCCAAATTTACCAACACAGTTTCAACACACAACAAACTTTTGTTAATTTATTTTCTTAAAACATGTTTTATTATGTTTTTAAGAAACATATTTTAAGTTATTAACTTATTATATTATATTGTTTTTAAAGTGGATTTACATATCATTATGTTTGGGCAGTATAAAAGTAGTTTTTTTATGTACGCCATGCTAATACTACTTGTGAATAGTCTTGTTAAAATGGAAGTGATTATAGAGAAAACTAATACTCCATCCATTTCAAATTATAAGTTGTTCTGTTTTTTCTAGATAGGATAGCTTTTTGCTATGAATCTAGATATACACTCTGTCTAGATACATAAAATTTACTATGTAATTTGAAAAGCTAGAAGAGCATAATTTCATGTAAGAGAAAAGATGATTTTGCCCTAGCTGGAAGAAAAAAAGTTGAGGAAGCCATGTGCATTTTAGGAATTTTGCTTCTATAATGAACCCACTATCCAATTATAATCCAGGAATCCAAATACATTAAATTTTTTTTTTTATAATTTAGATTCTTACAATCCCTCTACTATCCAGATTCTCACATCATCTTTGATGATCCAAACGGGCCCTTAATCCCTTATTCCCATACTATAAGTTCTAGGCGGGTTGAGCTGGGTTAAAATTCAGACTAGGCTTAACCCAAGACGTATAAATTGTTGGGCTGTCACTATTTTTTACTTGGGGCCCTACGGGCCGGGCCGCATTCCTTGCCAACCATGGGCTAACCGCAACATTGCATGACTCTGCGAACGGGAACGGTAGCCCAAAATGGAAGGAAACTCTCTAGCGCGACTGATTCGGCAAGGCACGCGATCCCCGTGTGCTGGGGCCCAAATTAGGGGAACCCCACGTGATCCGCCGAGGTCCGCCCGCCACGAAAGCTGGGCCACGGGGTCGCGGGCGGGCACGCGCCGGTTCCGCGAGCGACGCGACCACCCCGGCATCCGCGGAGCCTGCGCTGCGCTGCCCACCGCTCCTCCGCCTGCTCCGGCCTCAGCTAATACCGATGGGTGGTGGGAGCCGAGCCCTTTCCCTCTCCTCCCTCTGCGCCACCACCCTCGCCGCCGCCAAGCCCCCGCAGCACCCCTTCCCCTTTGCCCCGGCACACCGCGCGCTCCCCCACCGCCTCGCCGCCGCCATGTCCTCCTCGTCCTCCCCGACCCCCGCCGCCCCCGCCGCATCGGGCGACTCCGGGGCCCCGGCCCCGGCCCCTTCGGCGTCCAACGCCATCGACTTCCTCACGCTCTGCTACCGCCTCAAGGTGAGCGCCGGCGCCCCCGTTCAATCGCTTCGCATTTCCAGGGCCGGCTTAGTTGGATGGAGATGTGACGGTGGATGGGAGTGTGGATGTGATTGCAGACGACCAAAAGGGCGGGCTGGGTGAAGCGCGGGGTGCAGGGTCCCGAGTCGGTGGCCGACCACATGTACCGGATGGGCGTCATGGCGCTCGTCGCGGCCGATCTACCCGGCGTCGACCGCGACAGGTGACCCTGACCGTTTGCTCTGCAGTCTCTAGCTCGGCAGTACTTTAACCTTCTTACGGTTCCGTTTTCATACACTGTTTATTTCTCCTTTCATTTACAGGTGTGTCAAGATGGCGATTGTGCATGACATTGCAGAAGGTATGGTCTCAGAAGACTTCTATCTAGATGGTTTCACTGAAGTTTTGGGGCTTTGTATGAGATGAGGAGTGTAAATTGTGAATGTGGCAGCTTATTACTACCTGGGATGTTGGTAGATGGTAACTAGACCACTGGATACCTGTAGTAGGAATGTAGGATGTGCGTTCAAGTACTCATGCCATGATGAGCTACTTGTTTGGCCTCTGCTGTAGGTCTAGTCAAAGTGTGAAACTTAAACTATGTGCAAATTTTCCTTTCTTCATTCACAGTATTTCATTGTCTCAGAAGCATGCAATATGGCACTCAGCTTAAAAAAATATCAGTGAGAATGAACACATGATTATGCCTTGCATATATATACTCTTGCTGCTGACTGCTGTTCCTGAGCCGGCTAGCCTGTTGCTGGCACTAATTGCCCAATTTTGCCTTTTGGTGCTCCAGCAATTGTTGGTGACATCACCCCTTCTGATGGTGTACCCAAGGAAGAGAAGAGCCGCAGGGAGAAAGAAGCATTGGACCATATGTGCGAGCTGCTTGGTGGAGGTTCAAGAGGTGAATACCAAAACTTGCAATTGTAATACATTTAACATATTGTGCTGTAGGTATCGTAGGCTGCTACCACGAATTGTCTTTTCACGATATGTAGTTATATGAAATGAATGTGATGCTATTGGAAACTGACAACAGCTTTCTAGATGACACAATAGTTTAGACTTAGTGGTTCCAGTATGTGTTCATAGTGCCACAGTTCATAGGGAAAAAAGAATAATATGCGGATGTCAATGAATTTTGTGATTTTGCTATACGACACTTTTCACTTCCATCAGGGAAGCACATCAGGACCTGGAAATTATTTTTTGCCTATACTGAAGGGCTCTGCTACATAGAAATCCAATGGGCAGTTTGTGTTCTCATTGTTTTGATATATAGTCAAACTTTAGATATTATTGAACAATTCTGAGAGCATTCACATCCCTTAGGTGTCAAGGAAACTCTTGATAACTTAAAATTACTCTGAGACTCTTTTCAGAGAAACTGTTCTTTATACTTCTCTTCTTTTTATAAGGTGTATTAGGGTTTGAGAATTTTCTTCAAAGGTATGCTTTGTCCAATAATTTCCCTTACAATATATGAATATATTATCAATTACTACAAAACCAATGTCTCACTAAAAGGCATGTGAAATACGAATCTATTGATGTATCTTTTATGCACTAAATATACAAATATTTTGACTTGTTTGATTGATTTTTTTGAATCCTAATATGCCCTACATTTTGAAATGGAGGTTGTAAAGATAAGGAATGCTTATGTAGAAGCCAAAACCAAAGAGTTTGTCCTCTTATACATTTGGTATACTGCCATTATTGTTCAGCAAATGTTGATGCCTATGGTTTTTTGGAACATGATATTGTAATAAATGGTGATAATATTATTCCATCTCTAATGTTTTTTTCTACCTTGAAGCCTTATGGATCCTTTTATTATGCTCAAATGGTTATCATAGCATCCAACGTTTTTGCCCTGAGAGTTCCACAACATAGAAATCCAGTATTCAAAACATAATTAATTGCTAAAAAAATATTGGAGAGCGTCGGCATCCCTTACTTACATGTGAAGTGGACCTTTTAGAACTCAAAAAAGTCAATCTCAGGCTCCAGCCTTTTGGAAACAGTTCTTCATGCTGGATAACAGATGCTCTCTGTACAGGCCAGACTAAAGAGTTTCTGTGATCTTTGACACGTTATATATAATAAATACTCGCCTTTATCTGCATGCTGTTGTTTTGCAGCACAAGAAATTCGTGAACTTTGGATGGAGTATGAGGAGAATGCGTCTTTGGAAGCAAAGGTTGTCAAAGATTTTGACAAGGTACAGTTTCATATTTCATACCATCAAGTTGGTGGCATAATGGCAACATCTGTCTGAACCTATCAGATGGTAGTCCTTGTGATCATTCAACAGGCAATGCCATATAACCGGCAGGGTGTTTAGCTAGTGTAGGCAATCATTATGACCCTGACCTGTGGCTCCAACTTCTTCCTTTTCCTTTACATGCTGTAATCTCGTGTTTCTTTGTTATATTTCCAGATTGAGATGATACTTCAAGCTCTGGAGTATGAAAAGGGTGAGTTCATACTGGCACTCGAATGCACAAGTAGCTATAAAGTACAGACCACGACTATTAAAATGCAGTCATCAAGTATTCTTGTTGTAATAACCAAATAAATGGATATAGTTAAAATCAGCTCACATTTTCCAAATATAGCACATCTTTTGCATCATTTGTGCTTACGTCGTTATTCAATTTGCTCCACTGCCTTCTGGGTGTGAGAAGTAATACATATAATCCATATCCTATCACTTAACGCCCGGTAAACTCCTTGTTGATCATGAGATGGGTTAACAGTATCACACTTACGCCTATGTATTTTAAAATTTCCAGAGCAAGGACGTGACCTTGAAGAATTCTTCCAATCAACAGCTGGTGTGATTTTTTCTCTCTTTCCATTATGTTCTTCTCAATTTTCATGGGCATCTTAGCACATAAAATTGAACAGTTCATCTAAGCTGAGAGTTCGTCATTTTTTTTTTCATTTGTACACTTGAAATATGTTTTTCTGAGATATTATAAACATTCGTCATAAATTCAGAACATATCAGTGCCTGAATGATTATTGTTAGTTGAAACTTGACACTACCATCCATGATGGTTTCCTTTTATCATGAACTGATACATGTCTATGCCTTTTTATTATTTTCTTTTATCATGTGCTTATGCTCGATCTCTTCAACTTCACAATGTACTAATCCATCCCCCACCCCACACCAGCAAGA